CTGCGCTAGATTCAGAGCAACGAGAGATGGAGAGGAAGACAAGCCCCTGACAGCTGAAAGCTGCTGCTCAAATCAGACGGCCCCGTGCGCGGCGGCCAAAGCGATCCTGCGGGGGTCGGCGCAGGTGCGCGCCCACCCGCGGGAACCGTCCGAATGAATGGTGACCCTGGGCGCTGCCCGGCTCGCTTCAAGGCCGCTTCGCTTCTTGTCAATTGTTGGGTATTTGCCCCAATAAAAGAATGACAGCGATTTCAAAACCTCTTAGCACTAGCTTTTTGCCTCCAACAAAGTACCACGGAAAGCTTTAAAAATAAGCAGTTTTTGTAAATTCGAAGAAGCGGAGAGCTTTGGTTTAAATTGAGGGAGAAGTAGAGAGAGAGAGAGACCGAGAGAGGGAGAAGAAACGAATATAAAACATCCTTGCAATGCATTTATCAATTTCTGAAGACAGCAGTTGGTTGGAAAGAGCCATCATCTGGGCCTTTTTTTTTTCCCCCGGGGAAAACTTAACATTCTGATAACGTTCCCCTCAAACTAAAATACCTTTCTGGTGGAAAAACGACATGGGCGGTCGCTTAGCTCAAGACTTCCACCATGTTGACTAGGGTTTTAGATTTAGGACTGTTTGTGTTCTTAGTCACTAAAGATTCCTGAAGCAGACCTTTCCGGAACCCTTTGGACTTGGAGGGATGGGGCTGCGACCAGAGTTTCAGGTTGTCTTGACCGAAGGGCGTCAGGACATACCGCTGCTGCCCTCTCCTTAGTTTTTCTTCAAGGCCTGGTTTTGTGTGGCTGGAGGACGGTTTCATAGCAGTCCTCCAGGCTGTTGCTGCAATGCAGGCTATTTGCTCTCTCATCTTGCGGCATGGGGGGAGGGGAGCCGGCGATGGTTTTGTAACAGGCTCTGCAGGCCTGAGTGGGAACGCCTTAAATGATGAGCCTCGGGTTAAAAAAGAAAAGGGGGGTTGGGAGGGGGGGGGGAGAAAGCAGCTGATGCTGAATTAATAGTTAGAGAAGACCCCTGGGGCTTCCTCCTACGAGGGGGTCAGGAGTCCTTTCCCCTCCCCCAGTCACAGATTTCATATCTGTTTTTAAACAGTCAGATCAGATGCTGGGGCATTTGTGATGGCTTCTTAAAACTTAAACCCTGGGGCTTAAGAGCTGTCTATACTCCTGATCAAACTCACCCCAAATACTAACACGTTAAGAAATTACATTCTAAAACCTCCCCAAATCCGATTGACTGGGCTGTTTGGGGCCCATATGGCTGGACAGCTGTGCTGCTCCACGTGAAAAGACACCATTGCCCCTCGGATGGTATAAAGCGGGGGTTCCCCAGAGAGCTCAGACATGACCTAAGTATTAGCTTAGCCTAGGGTGAAGACTGAGTTAAATCTCTTCCTTCTTGGAGGTTAAAATAAAGACAACAACAAAAATCAAAAGAGGTGTACTTTTGAATTCATTGTAAATTGCATGCCTCCCGGCTGGTCCCACCAGAGGAAGGAAGGAACATAGGAGAAATAAACTCTCTTCGACTTACCACAAGCTTGATGCAAGGTAAACTGAAGACACAGGAGATTGGAAAGAAATATATTATTTGCCAAGTGTACCATGTGTCGGTGACATTTGTGGTTCCCTGTTCAGAGAAGCAGGGTTCTGACCTCAGCTGATGCCTCAGTGTTAACCATAAAGAAAGGCCATCAGAGCGCAATTTCCATGGTGAGAAGATGAAACCTTGCTTTAAAAAGAAAAGCCCATTATGAAATGCAGCCGGATTTAATTTTTAATACGATGGCGGATCCTCTAACGCATTCCTTGCTGGTGTTTGCATTCAGGAGGAGGGATTCATTATGTGGCAGAAATCAAAATTACCGAACACTCTGCAGTGCTTTTAAACGTGCTCCTGGTTTTTTAAAGGTGTCCCAAATAGAATATTCTATCACCTTCAAGTAGTGGTGGCCGGGAAAACAGAATACAAAACTCTGTTTCTACTGAAGTGTTCAGGCTAGATAAGAACCAGGCTTGATCTTACTTATCTTTTGTGCATAAGCATACAGCATGCTCCATACCCCAGTTCTTATCTGGCCTTAACAAATATTTTAAAGTAAGAAAAAAAAGGGGGGACCGAAAGGGGACCCTTACAAATCAATATGGAACATGAAATGGGGGGAAATACTGTTTAGCAAGGTAGATTCATAAGCTCTTAGTCCAAAGTCAATCAACACCGTTTTGGAGAATTATTTCAATAGTGAAACTACCTCCTTCAAAAAGCTTAAAATTAGCAGATACTGCCGTGTTCCTTTAATGTCAGTTTCCGTCTTTGGAAACAGCCACAGACAGTTCTGCAGTTACTGTGGCTTTCAGAGAAAAAATAAAACTGAAACAGTTTTGGAGATAATATTTGAATGGCATAACTAATGATGGAACCCCAGAGATCATTATTTTTTTTCTTGAATAGAAGAGGAAAACAAGGCCTAGAGAGCAGGAACATTTCCTTCCTGAATTATGTGGATGGTTTGTAGCAAATTCTGTGGGAAAGTTAAGAACAAATCCAGTTCTCTTCATTTCTTGCCTGTTTATATTTCTCACATCATATTGGAACTTAAAGTTTCCTTATAATTTTGGTAAGTAAAAGAAATAGCCAACTGGTCCTAGCAAGTACGTTTAATGTGTAGCTTGGGTTTAATTTTGAAAATCAAGTGTTTGTTTTTGTTTTAAATTTAAGTTTCTCTAGTGCTAGTGATATTTCAGAACAAATTTAGGGAAATACACACCGCTAGTCTCTTGTGGCCTCAGAGGGATGGGCAAGAGCCGCACAGAAGATTCAGAGCCTTTGGCTAAGCAAACCCAGGGCCACAACATGCCTAGAAAATAATCACATTAAAGCTAGAGCGAGAGGTTTTGAAGAAGGACCCCAGACAGGGAAAGGTCTGGGAAATAGCATCCTTTCATAATCATTTGGGGGGAAGGATGAGGCATGTGACAGGAGTCTCTGACACATATCCAGTTTATCAGGTGGCAGTTACCAAGTCAATTTGTTTTGTTCCTGTATTATTTAATACATTATTCATATTGTACAAAAAAGGAATCTAAAAAAAAAAACACCCGAAAGTAATTAAACAGTGGCATGATGAAGGTGACTGTGTGACCTTGGGCAAGTAAGTCACTCTCTGTCCTTGTTTCATATCCTTTTCTTCAACATGAGGTGCTTGGAGTGATGACTTCTAACGTTCCTTTTAACACAAATAGGGTATGATTCTACTGTTTTAAAAAAATCCACATGTTCCCGAGTCTGGAAGATAGTGTCTCCTTTTTAGAATCTATCTGGCAGACACTATTTGAGGCCTGTAAAGTTGAACACAGAAAGCTTAGGGAAAAGTAGTGTGTGTGTGTGTGTGTGTGTGTGTGTGTATGTGTGTTTAAATGGCATTCATCTGAAAGTACAGCCCCTCCTGATTCTCGATTTACTCTCTAGGTCAGTTAAAGGTCCCTCTATGAGGAGCAAGCATTTTCTATCTCCCTCCGAATGCCTCATCACAAGGTAACTGTCTGCCGCTTGTCCCCTCACATAAGCAGATCCAACCTGAGCCCTGAAGCAGATTTAAAAGCCCTCCTCTTTAGCTCCAGCCTGACCTAGATTGCAGGAGGATGAAGACTAAGGATTCATTTGCAATGCTTATGATGGGCATCTACTGCAGGGTTCTCAGAAAGAAACCCTGTTCCCCTTCTCCTCTGATAGCACCACAACTAAATCTTCCTGTTCAATTGCTACATAGGACATGAAGCTTTTCCTAATGAATTACCTGCCCCAGGAAGAAGATCTGCAACTCGCTAGTGCTTCAGGCAATTTTTAGCATGTGTCAGATTGTGTTTGTGTTGGAGAAGTTGGAGTGTGTGTGTGTGTGTGTGTGTGTGTGTGTTTTCCGGTGCAGGCAAACTGTTTTTTCCCCCTGTCTTTATGCAGAGACATACAGTTCCACATACCTTACAAAGAAAAAGCCTGGTTTGTGTTTAAGAGTCTGATGGGATCATGCAAAAACAGTGTTCATGTGCATAAAGGATGAGACCCCGGTTGGGATAAAATGTTCGTATTCATATACCAGATACCGTTTTAATGTGAACTGGACAAGGCTTCCTTTGAGTTTCATTTAGAGGCAGCTACCATGTATAATACATTACAAAACCAGTGCATTACACTTGAAAAAATGGTCCTGACTAATAAGGAGCTACCGATTGGTGTGTTCATTAAATATACAGATTTGAAGCAGAATTAGTAGAAATTGCTAAAATGGAAATCTTGTCAATCATAAACGAGTCAGCTGACAAGTCGGAGGGAAAACCCCCCTAATGTGATTCATATATTGTAGGATTGTGTCTGAGGATGATTTAAATAAATTTGGACATTAGGTGATGACAAGATGAAAATGAAAAATAGCATCCAATTGGGCAAAAGGCTGTAGTAGGCCTGGGGGGGAGTGTGAAAATGAAAGCGAGGGGGGAAATGGAAGAACGAGGGGGTCATTTGGAGGATAGCTTGTTTGTAATGAATGAATGAATAGATGAAATCTAGAATATTTATTTCCCAGTAGCCGACACTCAGGAGACATTCAACTATTGTTCATAAAAGAAAATCAGTGTCTCTTCTGTGTTGAGCAGCATCAAACAGATTATCTGCATATATAACTCTGCTGGGAGGCCAAAATGTCGTCAGCTCCAAGTACAGTTCGGGGAATATCGGCTTATTTTCGATCTTTAATATCAAAAATGCCATAAACCGGTATTTAAACACACTGTATGTAAAACGAAGGGGGGCACTTCGTACCAGCCAGCTATGTGCCTGGCAAGGGGCTATTTAGGCATTTTTCATATATTACCTAAAATCTCACAATCTGCCAATTCCGTTCCACAGAAGAGGTGAGCAGTTAAGTGACTTCCTCAAGTGCATAAGCTGGAGCTGGAATCCAGTTGTGATCGGCCCCAAAGACTCTGCTTTCCCCATTACCACTCCATACTGCGGGCTTCCCAGAAGGAACAAGAATAACGTTACATAATGTAAAGCTGATGTAAAAAATTAAAACTTGTCAGCGTTTGTCCTGCCCCCCCGTACCACGTTGAAGCAAAGCACCATGACACTGACAGAGTAGATGAGAAACACCACTTAAGATCATTTTTCCTGCTAACGTCTGTTGTACACTATGCAAATATGATTGCAAAAGTGGAACATTATCAACACTTTAATGCTAGTTATCTTTCAAAGATGATACTTAGAGTAATCAACATAAACTTAGTATACTGTATCCTAAATAATACAAATGTTGGCACGCATCATTCTGACATCTTAGTACGATCTAGAAAGCTGATCTGGGTGATATATAGTGATAATAACATTCTGCATTTAAACAGCATCTTAACAGCCACAGCATTTCATCACCTGGGGTGGGTTGGGGGAGGGAAGCCAGAAAATAGAGAAGGACTTAGGGCCTCATTTGGGGAGCAGAGTGCTCTGGGAAATTCTATTGGAGGAGGACTGTAAATCAAAGGGAGCATGCTTTCATTTGGTCCTGGGTGATCTCCTGCTTCTTGGACATAGGGCTGATAAGAGGGACCCCTGCATGGCAGAGATGTCCTCCCTGTTTTTGGTGCATGATCAGATACCCTGGGCTGACACTAAACAACGCCGAAGAAAATGGTGGACTGAAGCAAGGGATAGAAAAAATAGGAGGAAATAAAGAAAGAAATGATGGGAATTTCATTTTTAGGGGATTTTCCCCCCTCTGATTAATATATATGTTTAAATTGTTGAGCTGCTCTAAGACAGGAAAAGATGGCATTTTATTCCAAAGTCCTTACTAGTCATATGCCAACAACAACACTGTTACAAGAGAGTTCCCGCTCTAATAAAGGAGACTGCCATGCTGGCAAAATGCACTGTGATGTGGGCTACTGGTCTGGGAGGCAGAGACTTGGGTTCTAGTCTTTGGTTTGCTACAGTGACCTTGCAAAGTGACGAGTCACTGTCCCCACTAAGCCTAATTCCTCTCTTACTTGTAAGTGGAAGGTGAGGGTTCTGTCCCCTCACCCGGATCCCCAACCTTTCTTAGTTCTGCTCCCTGATCCCCTCTCCTGAAGCTCCCTCCCATTGCTTGAATGACAGCAACTCAACTCAACTCAACTCAACTCAACTCAACTCAATGTTTATGCTCTTGGGGAATTTTTAAAAGGCAGTAACAGCAATGAACAGCATTTTCTGAACCCCTAAGCCAGTGAGGGATGGTTATTTGGGGGAGACAGGGAATGGTTTCCTGGCACTTCTGAAATTATACTGGCTTTGCATGGGTCATCGTCCTCTTTGACCACAGAGGGTGGACTCTGTGAGAGCAAGCAGGGCCCGTGGAGCCAACACAGATGTGAGACCACATACTAGCTCCATCACCTACCTACTCAGTGACTTTGGGCTAGTTTTTCATGTGCAATATGGAGATGTTGATAAAACCCACATCACAGGGCCAGTGTATACTGAGAGAAAACCCAGTAAGTGCGAGCTTTTGTACTTCTCTGTCTTTCTCTTTGAAAGGTAGGCCTAGGGTAGGCCACTCCTGTTCCTGTCATCCCCTCCATGTCTCAGAAAAAGAGAGTACAGGGAGGAGGGCAGGCAAAATGCAATGTTATGTGTTGTGTGGTCCATGGCTGGCCCAGATCTGAGCAGAAGGGGAGTCTGGGGCAGGATTACTTCATGATGAATCTTGTAGTTGACTCACAATTTGACTGAACAAGCCTTGTAAAAATAGCACATTATGAAATAGGGAGAAATACAGCTATGAATGCTTTCTGAATTCTGGGGCAAAGTTTGTGAATTCTGAGGGTCTCAGGAGCTCCCACAGAAATGGAGCTCAAACTGGTGGGGGATGATGTCTCCTCCATCTGACCGGTAGCCTTGGCCCTTGTATGTGGAATGATCAGAGACAAGAGACAATCTTAGAGTTAGAAGATGAGGAAATTGAGACCCCCAGGAGTGACATGCCTTGCCCATGGTCACACTATTATTAAGTGGCTGAAAATAAAAGACAAAAGGGCTGCACAACCCTGTAGGAAACCAGAGAGAGTACAGATAAGAAGAGGGAGAACTCTATGCGTGGGGGACTTGTAGAGTCTGTTGACTTGATTTCTCTCTGGGCCTGAGCAGAGCATTGACAGAACCACAAACTTGTGAGTTCTCTTTTAAGGATAATAGTTACATTTTCCTTAGAGAGTTGTTGGCAGGATAAAAAGGACGCACTGCACAGAAAACACAACACAGTGCCTTGTCATAGTGAGTGCTCAATAAATATTACCTAAAGACATTATTTTTTTTTACCTTAAAATAAAAGCAGCCTTGTTGCTAATGGCCAAGAAAGACTTAGTATAGTTGGCTTTGTTCTTGATGAAAGCCAGAGAAGTTCCCCCAACATCTTTTGGAAATGGCATTACCATTCATTGCAGAGGAGGCCTATTGTAACCACGTTTTCCATGGGTCTAAGTAACTCTCTTTCTTTTGGAGACCTGAGCCTTAAAGTTAAGGTCTGTATTCAAGGAAGTGACAACCTGCAAGAACTACTTTATTGTCATTTTACTTCTGGTATAATCAACTGAAGACTTTAGACGTGGATGTGAAGTTTTTGGGGGATGTCTGGGAGAGACAAGATGACATTTAGAACTTGTTGTGTGTGATGGAACTGCACAGACTGAGTGAGAGAAAGGACTGATTTTTAATTTCCTAAGGGAGACTTTGTAAATAGTACCCTCAGAAATCTTCTTAAATAACAGGGGCTTAGACTCTTCCTTTCTGGCATTAAGAAGCCTGAAAACTTCCTGGAAATGCATACCTAAATTTTTTAAATAAGATCATTTAATTGCCTAGCAGAGCTTGAAGGAAATAAAGCTGGACCAGAAATAAAGTCTAGCTGTATGACTAGACTTTACAAGAGATACATAAAAAACATGGAACAAAAAAAAGACTAAAAGGAAAAGGATGGGAAAAGAAGTAACAGGTAAATAGTCACCATAAGAAAACGGGTGTAGATTATTAATGTCAGATCAAACAGACTTGAAAAAATACATTCTTGGTGATAAAGGTGGTCTCCATGTAATGAACCATGTGAAAAGAACAATTAAGTAGAAGAAGAATTCTAAACTTGTACGCCCCTAGAAATATGGCTTCAAAATACAAAAGCAAAAAAAATGAAGCAATTTCAGGGAACAAAACAATAAATTGGAAATGACAGCAAGAGAATTTATCTCTCTTGGTAACTGATCAAAACAGTTGGAAAGGATGTAGATTTGAATACCATCAAACTTGCTCTAATGGTCAAGCTTGGAAACACTTTATGAATAATTAGTAAAAATCACATTCTTTTGAGATACTTGGGGACATTTATAAAACTTGATCATGTACTACCCAATTAATGAATTCTCAAAAAACACTATGATATACTGTCATACAGATTGTGTTATTTGCCTGCAATATTATTTAGTGAGAAATCATTAGCAAAAAGAAACTCACCAGCTTTCCTCATGCATTTTCAGGGAGAGGAAAGCATTTCTAAATAACACGCTGGCCCAAGAAGAAATCATATTGTAAATTACTAATTACATTCATTAAAATACTATATATCAAGACTTTGTGTCTTGCAGTCATAGAAATACTTAAAGGAGAACTTATAGCCGTAACATATTTATATTAGAAAAGAAGGAAGACCAATGATGAATGAGCTAAGTGTCCAATGGAAGGAGTTAAAACAAGAAAATCAGAGCAGGACTAAGAAAGGAGAAGGAAAAAAAAAGAACGATTGGAGAAAGGGATGACTGGTGGCAAGATTTAGACTCCAATACTTTATGTGTAATAGGTCCATGGCTATTTTATGGCTGAGGAGAACCATCTCTCCACTGCAATTACCTTTCCCTCTCAGCAGAATCTAGTCTCTCCCTCTCCTCTGAAGGGTCTTCTCACAGAATCTGTGTCACCTTTGCAGCAGACTGACTACAACAGTGTTTTGTTCATCTCCGTGGCCTTCGTATCTAGTATGGGTGCTCAGCAATTCTATTCAATGACTTTTCTTCTGTAGTTCTTTGTGTATTTACCCCTTTTTACTCTTTGAGGGAGAGACTTTTTCTTTCTCATCTCTTCACTTAAAATATGTAAGCCAGGATCTTGTGCAAAGGAGATACCTGACATTTAAATGTGTTTGAAGTTGAATTGAGTTTGTAGACACCTAAGAGAGAAGTGGGGGAAGGAAGATGGAAATGATTCCTGACTCTTCTAGGCTTGGGGATCTGATCATAATTCAGAATAGACTACTGCTGACCTTCATCACACAGAAAGGGACTTTCCCCATTTGTGGGCATGATTTTGTGTGTGTTTTTTTTTAAAGAAGTTAAAAAAAATCCTAAGCCCTCCATTGGAGAGGGAACACATTTCTTTCTGAGTCCTGTCTGTGGTGGGGATGTGTGAGCACTGGTTAGTAGAAGATTTTGCAGTTGCATGCTTCCCGGGTTTAAGACCCCACCACTTTTTAAAATCATCATGGTAAAATATACATAACATAAAAACCATTATAAATTGTACATTTCAGTGGCATTAAGTACATTCATCATGTTATGCATCCACCACCACTACCCATTTCCAGAACATTTTCATCATCCCAAACACCACCTTTTAGCTGCACAATTTTGGTCAGGTTGCCAATTTCTTCATTAGTAAATCAGGCTAATCATATTACCTACTGAATAGAATTGCTGTCTGGGTTAAATGACAAAATGCATGAAAACTGCTTAGCACAGTGCCTGGCACTGTGTTTTACTGAGTAACTACTCCGTGCATGTTTCTATAGAAAAGAACAAGAGGAAAGAAAATTCAAATCCTTTAATATCCTTTAGAACTTGGAGGGAGACTCGAGGTAAGGCGTACATAGTTCATGAGAAGTGTGTTTGACAGCATCTTGATGAGACTTGACTAGAACTCTGTTGGTAAATAATCACCCAGGCTTGGAGTTGAAAGAGGTTATCTTGAAAATTCCTTCTAGCACGAGCACTACATCTGGCACGTCATGGGAACTCAAGAAACTTCTGAATGTGTGTGTGAATGAACACAAACACAAACACACCAATGCTCAATGGGAGGATAGAGATCATTTCGTCTTAGTGGTCAGTTTATCACCGAGTAGACTGAGATTCAGAGAAGTAAAGTGACTTATTCCA